ATATATATATATATATATATATAGATAGAGATATAAAATGGTCGGGTACCCATGACCGTAAAGGTAAAACCAGAACCATACCCAAACCACGACGGTTTTCTTTTCGTGTACCAAAACCATTACCAAACCCTAATGGTTCCGGTAACGGATTTTAAACGGAGCGGATACCCACGGATAGCTAGCGGTTCGGGTTTTTTTGCCATCCCTAGTCATAACAATCCTTCAAAATCTCCAAAGATAATAATAAATTCTGAGGCACAACAAAATTGAATCTAAGAAACAAAAGAAAAAAAAAAAATCATTATTCTTCGTCAATTTCGACCCTTCTTCTTCATCGTCAGTCATTACCTCCAATAAGCAACATCCATTGTATCTTTCTTCATCATCTTGGCTTCTGCCTCGAGATCGTCCCAATAAAAATTGAAAAAAAAGTAGAGTAAATTGGCAATGTCATGTCACCTTCAGCAAATGAATTATTGGAATATCTGGCAATGGTGTTATCCACAAGAAGTGTTGTTTTTAGTGAGTTATCCATAATATTTTTAACGCACCAGATTCAACCGTTTAGATCCGAGAAGTACAATACCTCTCGGACCATAAACAACCTCTACTAAGATGAACTATATATTGTACATTTGTACGGCCAAAAAATGTTAAACAAATATTTGAACTTTCGAGCTATTTTTAGCTAAAAATATGTGCTATAGTATACAAAAAAAATATGACGAAAATGCACACTGAATAAAAAACACACTATGACGAAAATTCACATTAAAAAAACTACACACTACCTCGAAAAAACACGCTAAAAAATAGACTCACCGAAAACACACCCTTAAAAAACAAGCTAGATTGAAAACTCACACTAAAAAACACACACACACTACATCGAAGACATACACTAAAAAAAAATGCACTACACCAAAAACACACTCTAAAGAAACACGCACTGCATTGATAAGACATACTGGAAAACAAAGACTACACTGAAAATACACACTGAACACTACACCGAAAACATACACTAAAAATACTACACACACTGCACCGAAAACACAAACTGAAAAACACACAACAAATACGATTTAAGTGTCAAAAACTGTTATATATATATATATATATATATATATATATATATATATATATATATATATATATATATGACAATTTCAGCTCTTTTTCGAAAAAACATATAGTATGCGAATTTTTGTAATTTTATTCGATTAGTCAAAAATTTGTGAAACCGAATTGAGATGAACTATTTCTTGATTAATTATGAATTAACACCTCCATTTCTATATATTTGAGTGTCAAAAACTATTAAAACAAATAAATGACCATTTCAGCTCTTTTTCGTAAATAACGTGAGCTATAGTATACGATTTTTTGTGAGTTTGCATGATTGTTCAAAATTTAGTGAAACAATATTCAGACGAACTATTTCTTGATTAATAATAATAAAAATCTTCTATTATACTTTATTGCAAGAAGACAAGGGGCCTCGTTAAAATCTTTGTCGGCCTAGAAGAAGGAAAATTACAAATGCCTATTCTATCCATAAATAAAAAGTGCCTAATGTTGTGTGGCAGATCCTCTTCGTCTACACAATGCCAACCGATCCAGAGAGTTGCCTTTTTTATATATGTGTTCCAGTCTCCAGTTATACTGATTGAGACAAACTTCAATTATCCGCATCGTTCATCAGTTGCGCAACGATTTTCTTTTTTTTTTTTTGGTCAGCATCGACGAACGAAATCCAGATGGCACCACCTGCCCCTATCCTTTCTGAACAACGACAAAATCAGAAACCGGTCTATCCAATTCATCAACATAACTCCGACTAATCTGATTCACCGAACCAAAAGAATTCATCTTCTCCGACAAATTCGAAAGCGCCTCGTTCCTATTGGCCAACTCCATAAGTACCTTAATCCTCCTAAACGAAACATGACTAGGTTTCTGCCCTTTCTCCACCATTTGCAAGAAACACCTCTCCGCCATATCCAACTTCCCCAAAACACAAAGCAAATCGCACAAAACATCCGAAACCAAAATTAACGAACCAAATCCTTCTCAATCATATCTTCCCACAATTCAATCGCCATATCCACCTTCTCTTGCCTCCTCATTAACCGAAATCAAGAACATACACGACTGAGTATTGGGTAAACAATTAGTACCCTTCATCCTCAAAATACAAACTCCACATACTTTTCAAATCATTCGCCCAAAATAAAGATCGAAATATCACGTTATAAGTCGTGGCATTTGGGCTCAAACCCTTCTCCACCATTTCATCAATCAAATTATAAGCATCGTTTAATCTTTTCGCTATGCAAAAATTCCTAATCGTAGCATTATAAGCTGCAGTATCTGGATAGCAACTGTACTCTCTCATCTCCTTCAAAATCTCCCTCGCCTTATCCGGTTGGCCGGCCAATCCAAGCCCTCCGATCACCGTCGTGTACGTAATCACATCCAAATCAATACCTTCGTCTCTCATTTTATTGACTACGTTATACGCTTTCACCATCTCCCTCCCTTTACAATAGACATCGATCAAGCAATTATACGACACGATATCCGGCTCAACCCCCATGTTTTTCATCTCGTTGAAAAACAACTCAGCTTCTTCGGGCGATTTCCAACCCGATAACAAGATGTTGAACGTCTGTAAATTCGACCTAAACTCGTGCTTCAACGAATGGTACACGTTTCTAGCATCGGCCATACTCTTTTCTTGAGCCAAAGTCCTGAACAATGCATTGTAGCAGTGAACATCAAACTCGGGAACGAGTCTTCTGAATTTTTTAAACGATTCGACCGTTTGTTTGACGGAGCAAACTTTCGCTATACGAGCTAAAACGACTTGCACGGTTCTCGGGGTTATTAAAGATTGATCCTTTCGCTTGGTTTCGGACAAGAGCTCCCATGTTTGTTCGAATTTGCGGCTTCTGCCGAGGATGTAGAGCATGGTGTCGAGGGAGAAAGGGGTGTGGAAAAACTCTCTTGTTTGGGAAGTGAATTTGTAGAACTCCAGAGCGGAGAGTGGGTTGGAATGTGAGAAGCGGACCCTTTTGAGAACTCTGTCGATTAGGGCGTTGGAAAGGGGGATTTGGGATGTTCGGAGGGAGTGTTTTAGGGATTGTGGATTTGGTGAGGTTGTGATTATGCGGAAGGCTGTCTCTACGTCGTCGTTTTGGGAGGGGGGCGAGGGTTCTGATTGGAGTTGAGGGATTGAGGAGAAATACCTTGTTTTTGTTGTTAATGGCGGCGAAATGGAGAAGAGGAGGTGGAGTCGGCGGCGAATTTGAGGCCGCAGACTGTGCATTTTGATTTCTTCGAGGAATTTCAGCTCTCTCTCTCTCTCTCTCTCTCTCACACACACACACACACAGTGACTGGCGACTGGCGAGAGGTTTGCAGCAAACCTTAACACGGCCCAAATGGGGGAACAGGTTACAGGGGAAGAGAAACTCACAGCAAACAGAACCGGCAAATAGATATACTTTTAAAATTGCGAAAAAGTCCATCTTGTTTAGGTAATTACAACTACTTACCCCAATTATAGATATTCTTACATGTCCACCCTTAGAGCATCTCCGACCGGACGCCATAACGTCATTTTTTCATTTAATTTAGGTGTTTTTAGCCTTCCATCCAAAATTCCTATATCACCATTACACCTAAAATTATTGAGATTTGGTTTTAGCCTCCAACCCCATATCACCAAATACTCAAATCCCATTTTTCCATCAAATTTTTTGGTGAAGGAATTTTCATCTCCCACTGGTCCACCATTTTCCTGTTTTTTCCACCAAATCCTATTTTTCTTACCAAATGTAGAGGTGAAAATAAGATTTGCCGTAATTAACACCATTTTATTAAGTACCATATAAAATAACGATTTTAACTAATTGCCCCCGATTACCAACTTATTAGCATATTTATCGTAAATACATTGGTATTAATTATTAAATTAGTTTTTAAAATATAAATACGTTTGTTATTATTAACAAAACACTAATTCTAATAATATAAATATGCTTATTTTTAATTAATTTGCATATTTTGTTGGTATCAATGTTTATTAGTTCATTTCTTTACTTAATTAATACGCTAATTGCTATTAATAAAATATAATAAGCAACAATAAAATGATTAATGAAACACACTTTAATTGATGAAATACAGGACGAGACATTTATAGATATTTATAGACATTTAATAGAATGATAACATAATTTGTAAATTATATAGTTAAGAAAATTTATTACTTAGCGTTGGATCTATAATTAATATTTATGAAATAAAATATTATAAAATTACGATTAATATTAGATTTACATTTTTTGTGCATATATGGTGAAATGCCATGGGAGGCCAAACCAAATCTCATTTCCTATCAGTGGTGAAATGGTGAAATATTATTATTTTAATATTTGGTCTAAATTTTGGTGAAATCCATTGGAGATCAAAAACACTATTTTTCCACCAAAAATAGTGGAGGAGTAAAATAAAATGGTGTGCTATCGGTGGGAGATGAACCCATTTTTTCACCACCATAAATGGGATTTGGTGAAAAAATGGTGAGACCGATCGGAGATTCTCTTGTGGTATCAAATTCAACAGAACCTTTGAAATGCCGTTGAATGTTCTCTAATTTGTATTCATTGTCTGCAAAAATGTTGTTTGTGATGCATCACAATCTGATATATCTTGTTTCATGATTTCTTTAGTTCAAAACATGTACTTCTTTCATACAAAATGAAGTTTTACAGGAAACAAATATTAATTGAAAAGAAACGCCTTAGGGTTTGTAATAAACAAAAGTCACAAGGCTTTTATCACTATACAAAAAATTCCACCCTTGAAAATTATGACAGTGTTGTCTTCTTGGCACATAGACCAGTTCATCATCATTTCTTTGTATAGTTTAGGTATGGATCTTGAGCAATAGCTAAAACATCAGGTCTGTCTGCTTGATTATATGTTAGACACCGACGAATAAATTCCTGCACGGAAATTCAAACATTATCGTGTAAGTTATTAATGGTGCAAGTGATTTACATTGAAATGAACCGAAAATCACGACAATAGAGTAACATATTCAACTTCGAGTTTGAGGACTGTAAACTAAATGAGTACAATTCTAAAACTCTTTGAATGCAGTTGAGAAGCTAGGAAGAAGAAACGAAATGATATATTAAAACAGTAAACGTTTTATATCGGAAAAAAAAATTCAGACAATTTTTTTTTTTTTTTTACCTTTGCCTCATTTGATACAGATGGTCTTGAGGGAAATTCAACTTTACGAGCTTTGATAATCGTATCTTCACGTAATATTCGCTCTTGAGTTTGGTTGTGCCCAAATGGCCGTTTTCCAAACAGCATTTGGTACAATAAAATACCCGCAGACCAAACATCAACCTGTTTCCAGCAATGCAAAAGAAACCTTAGTGTATTCCTTTTTTATTAAAAAAGAAAAAACCCTTAATAATCTACAAACTAAATGTTGAATTTCCATACTCGTTAAGATAAAGACAATTACGATTTCCCAATTTGCACACTGACCTTTGAGGAAATGAGAGGTATCTTGCTTAGCTCAAAACATTCAGGAGGCAAATACCTGAAATTATTCAATCTCGGTTATAACAAATCAAGTTTATTTGACAGCTGGAGTAATAAACTGCGAATAGCCGAGGCTCACCAATAAGTTCCAGCGCCCTGAGACGTAAGTTCCATGCCTTGGGATCCGACATCATCCTCCACAATCTTGCTGAGGCCAAAGTCTGTGACTTTAGCAATACCCAAGTCATCGAATAGAACATTTCCAGGCTTCAAATCGTAATGAATAATTTTTTGTGATCTTTTATTAAGGTAAACAAGGCCTTGAAATATCTGGACAATAACGATCCTAGCTTCTCTCTCTGGCAGTGAAGGTGTTGCTTTAAGAACTGCATCGAGATCCTTGCCTAGAATTTAAACAAAAACTTTGAATTACCTTCATCATATTCTCTTACACGAGACTTTTTTTTTTTAAATTGATGATATAACTAAGGAATTTAAGAACTGCAATTGTGTGAATAATCATACCGCTGCAATATTCCAGGACAGTGCAGAATGTGTTTTGATCAATCTCAAAAATGTCCCAAAGCCGAACTATATGGTGATGAACCAGAGTCTTGTGAATGTTGTATTCCCTGATTGCATGTCGTATATAGCTTTGCTTCTTATCTTCACTCCACTGCGCGTTCAGACCATGAAGCTTACAGGCAACATATCTATGTTCCACCAAGTCAAAAGCCTGCCAACATCTTTCACTATCTATCACTAAGTTTCTTTGGAATGTTAAAAAGGAAAAAAAAAAAAAAAGAAAAAAAAGGGGCCCTGACCTTATAAACCTCACTAAATCCTCCTTTGCCAAGAAGGTTTAAGAGGGCATAACGATGATTCAGTATCTGAAAATTGTTGAAACGAGAGCCATCCTCATCTCTTAAACGTTTCATTTCACGTATAAGTTTTCCTTTCTCCAATTCATAGCGCTCTCTTTCACGCATTACTGTTTCCTCCTCCTAAAGACAATTCAGGTACAGCGTATGAAATAACGAAACAACCAATGAGAAGGAAGTACAAGGATAAAGAAACTTTACACGCTTGATGCTAGCCAGACGGGACTTAAATATTTCATCCTGAATGAGAACATCTTCTTCTTGAAACCCATCCTCGGTTTCACTTGTGTCGCCTTTATCTGCAATAGATCATCATGCTGTAAGTTCTCACAGTAATAAGGACAAATGGCATCAAACAGTCGAGATTTGTGAAGATGTAATGAAAGCATTTACCAGGCTGGCGTTTCTTCAGAGATTTCCTCTGCCTCTCAATGGCCTCCTTATTGTCCAACAATCTCCTCTGAACAGAAAAATATTGATTAGGTATACACCATGCAAGCAAAATTGTTTTAGTAAATATGAGTTAATAAAACAATAAAAACAAATCAAGACAGGAAAGAGCATACAAGGTTAGCATTGAGATCCTTTAGTGTTTGCCCATCCTCCCATGCTTCGGATATGATTGTCCCAGCTCTATCAATTCATTGAATAACAAAATGTAAGGGGATGAACATGATAAGAGACAACGAATTAAAGAGATACTAAAGACTCATTGCATAAAATAATAAAGTTCAGCTAATTCACAAGCATGCCTTTATGCAAGCGCCAATCAAGAGAGAACTAGTAGTTTCTTCATTCTTTTGATGACAGTGTTTCATTCATTCAAACAATCAGGGATCTATTTTTCTCTCTACCTAAAAGCTGGTTATCAAATTCAATCCCAAAATAGATGTTCGCTTAAAATGACTATCAAGATCCCAGTTTGACGAATAATGCATCAACCTACTACATATAAATAGTATATTGGATGAAAGTGGTATGTCTTTCTTCAGTGAATAAAACTCATCAGGTGAGCTTCAATGAAACTATTTAAAACGAGAGAACGACTAGAGTTAATAAAATGTTGTCAGATTCAACCCAGTTTGTTTGCTTCTGAAAAAGGATGCCTCGGTTAAAATTAAAATTATTGAAATACCTGACCACCCCCACATTGCCAAGTCTCAAGGAATCTTGGCGTACTTTCATCCTCGCCTCGTGTCTCTCAGCTTTTGATACAGATATCAATAAGTCAGATATCACTTTTATTCTCTGCAGCAAACAGCAAGTATTTACTTGTAAAGGAAAGTCAACATATAAAGGTCATCAGCTAAGAGTTAATCCGTATATGTCAAGAATAACAGTCAGGTCTTGCACAAATCATGATTGTTGACTGTTAAACTTAATCTTTCGCTTTATTTTTCTCTTTAGTGTAAATTGTGAATGAAACCGCCTCCAAGAAAGGAAAAAAGCCAAAAAAAAAAAAGAAAAAACCAAAACAAACTGATGAGAATCAGAGGTTGAAGGGAGGCAGACTAGAGAGAACATAAACCTTTGGCTTCATCTGCTGCTCATAATCTTTGAAATCCTTAAGCTCCTGTTCAAGTAAGAAAATACATACAAATAAATGAATACGGGTTTCTGCAGTAAAAGAAAAAAGTAACTTAATATGCTGATATAACCAGCAGAGAGAACATAATAGGCATAATTTTTGAACTTTTTTACATCGGAAACTCCAAATAAAAAGGAGAAAACACCAGTAATACCTTTTCAAGGCGCTCACACTCATTACGATAATCAGAGGCCTCTTCGTGCGATTTTTTCAGCTCTTCCTCCAGTATTGCAACCTTTGTACGCAAGGAAGTCACTTCATCCTATTATCATTTATAAAAAAATAGGCAACGTTACCAAATTAATAGCTGACTAGCTGTACATATGATACGGTTGCAAATATTGCAAATAATAAAGAAACTACGTTAGCAAAACTGAAAAATCTAGGTTGAATTTCAAATTTGAGTATAAAAATTTACGGGTAGAAATTAACACAAATTATACCTCTGTTGAAGAGTGGCCATCCTGCCTCAGCTGCTCTTTAAAGAACTCATCCTGCATACTCAGCAAAAGAAGAGGAGTAACCCAATGCATCAATTTTCCATTAATTAGCAATTAGCAATATCAAGACATCACTGATAAATCCAATAAATTGTCCGACTACAATTTCATGAATCATACCCTTTTTCAACAATTCAGGTAAGCTAAATCTACTTACAATTCCTCCATAACGCTCACATTTTATTCATCAATAGATGATGTATATGCTTGGGAAATGGTAAATATCTCCTCAATTTCAAAACCTTCATAACTAAAATGAAACTATTTATAGCAAATGATTCATTGGAAAGTCAAGCAAAATAGGCAGCTGTATAACTTATTAAAAAAATTCAACTACCATAAATGCACGATGGACATACCTTATGATGTGAATTTTCGACCAGACCATTTGATGGAGAAATCGTCTGATTTCTTGCCTGGTCAGTAACTCGACCACGGCCTCTACCTGAACCAGAATTAGCCCTACCACGTCCTTGTTTTCTTTTATTTACTTCAGCACCTACCTTGTTCGAGTCTACAGCTTCTACGGTCTTTTGCCTAGCATCAGTTGCTGACAGGTGTATATTCCCTGAAAAATTACTATCCTAAAATGAAGAAACGGAATAGGCAGTAAGAATTTTTTATTTTTAAAAAAAAAAAAAAAGAAAGAGAAAATAGTTCAGCAGAAAATCATGGCAACAGGAAAAGGAAACTGTACCTCAACATGTTCGACTAAAGTAGCGCTGCAACCTTCTTCCACTTTACGTCGTTTTTGAGTGTTTGCTTGTATGAGAAAAGCTCCTCCATTCTGCCACGTGACCATAGAAAGTCAAAATGAGAAAGATGGAATAAATGCAATGCATGTTCAAAAGAGATGCGTACTAATTAATCTCTCTGAATACGGATAAGGTAAGTAGAAGAGCAAATTAGGTAATGTAGAGTGCCAGTTTCCTACATAAAATGGATGGGATAGAGAAATGTTGCTGTAAGAACCTCTCAACAAGATTGAGAACAAATTACTAATGGGCCCCGATATGAGAAGGCGGTGCAAGAGTCATGTATAAGATCGCTGCTATAGTGAGGATGAACTTTGTATAATGAAACACATTTTTTTTGGTTTCAGTTAGAAAGGTGTTAAAAAGGAAAAACCAGATCAAACTCGACGGTTAGAGAGGTTTACGTTAGTAATACACTATTATTTTTATATGCTTCAATAGATGTAACAGGTTCACAAGATAGCATAATTTTTCTTTCATATTCTCATTAAGAATTTGCGCAAATTTTCTAAAGAAAATGACAACTGTGTTGTTTCAATGTTGTCTCCTATGCCCGCAAATCAAGTCTAGCCAAAACAGGTATGACTTTGAATATAGAAATGATGTCTAGAAGAGCATACAATTGAGATAATAATAAAGACGAAGCAAAATTTTTTAGCTCGGTCTGCTCTTGGTGATTTATTAAAGAAATAAAACATGACTAACAAGTTTTAGACTTTGCATATATGCATATGCAGATAAAATTGTTGCCCAAATTATGACTTGAGTTTCTCCTTAGAGATTATCATATCTAGTTTTCTAACTAGAAATGTGTCTTTTAGGTGGCACCACAGAAAGTCCATTACAAAATGATCATCTTGTATTCAATTTCACAAATGCACATCAAATGGATACACCTCATGCTCAGTCTATTTAAGGATTTTTATTTAATATAAATTGTATGTATCTTTGTTTGGAGGAAGGCGTGAAACACCAAACCGAAACAGAAAATTCTAAATGCTTTAACAGTCTCTCAGTGTGTGATGTGTGATGGGTTTTCTTGAGAACAGATGAAGGACTTTGAAAACATAGTAAATAAAATTGACATAACTTATGTTTCAATCACAAAAAAAGACATATTTCTAAAGTAAAAGGCAAAAACCTAGTCAATAGGAAGAAAACATGCCCAACAGTTATATAGAATAACAGGTGAATAAGTGTAAGCAAGTGTTAGTTAATATGTTTTTGTTGCCTTGGCACTCCAGAGATCAGCCATGACTGCAGTTGAACATGACACAGCTGTTGCATGCCATCTGTTCTTGCAACTCCATTCCAAGTCTATCCAACACGTTTTCGTTGGCAAACACAGGTATAGCTAGTTATTTTTATATAGCCCCTGCAGCGTTGCTGCCATAGTGTTTACAACAGAAGCTAAGATCCAATTAGTATTTTTCGAAACTCAAAAGCTAGCTCCAAAATGCTAGTACATCGTCATTTGACTTTTAGGTTTAAGAAACACCGATGGGTACATTTTGGAAATGTAACTGAAAAGTCCTATTCATAATACACAAGAATTATTCTATCCGCATGTCTTCAAGAATTATCGATCCATATA